AATTATTTGTTTCGGGAACATTGCAAGGAAAGCATGAGAACGAATTTAGCAAATGTTGGGTTGTGAGTGAATTCACAAATTTCTCTTAAAAAATTGTTATAACATTCACTCACTGATCCAGAAAAAAATGACTTAAATAATGTGCCATTCACAAAAAGTCAAAGTATCTTGATTGTGCTAAGCCAGTCCTCATTCCTGAAAGATGAAAATGCCACTATCTAGATCTTAAAGAACCACACAGGGTAACTTCAGAGGAAACAGGATGGTGACCACAGCCCTGTGGTAATCACATGAAGCCCAGACACTGGAATTAACGTATTCCTGGTCCAGCCATCCCTATTCCATTCCCTTCCCACCAACCTTGGCAGTGCCTATGCCAGGAACTTGGTTCTTGTGAATGAGGAAAAATGAGGAGGCCAGAGTCTTCACCATGCTGGGATTTCAAAGAAACGTTTCTCTGCCCTTCCACAACTGGTAGCTATTGACCATAGGCCTTGTGTCTGAATTTCCCCAAACAGAAGCGCCAGTTTGTTTAGAGACTTAAAAAAATGGTTTTGGCATAAGGAAATCAGTCTCCTTCCTGCTTCCTTAGTGTGGTAAACTCCATGGACCTTATCTGGGATTGAATAAATACCTTTTTAAAAATTTCCTTTAAGAAGACGAGAATCCTTCTTCCAAAAAAGAAAAACCATTAAAACAAACATAACCTTTCTACTGATAAGCATTCTGTATTCTGAGTACATGAGTACTGCCAGTCTCTTCTCTATTTTTGGCCCTGAGTATAGGAACCATAAAGATGTTCTTAACCTTATTTCTCTAAAATAAATAAGCCTGTGTCTTTCCCTTTTGCAGAGAAAGGAGAACTCTTTGTACCTTCTGCCAGCTACTTTGATGTTGTCTACTTGAATCCGGACAGACAGGCTGTGGTTCCTTGTCGAGTGACTGTCCTGTCAGCCAAAGTCACCCTACATAGGGAGTTCCCAGCCAAGGAAATCCCAGTCAATGGAAAGGACATTATTTATGACATGAAGAGAGGCTTTGTGTATCTGCAACCTCACTCTGACCACCAGGGGGTAGTCTACTGCAAGGCTGAGGCTGGTGGCAAGTCTCAGATCTCCGTCAAGTACCAACTGCTCTATGTAGAGGGTAAGCCTACTATTTTCCAACTCTTAGTATCGAATACACTGCTGCCTATTTACAGATGAAAATGAGGAGGCACATACTGTGTTAATTCCTTGTCTGTGACCCTGACCCAGCACCATTCTACTCTGTCCCCTCCCAAATCCTTTGTTCCTCTGTTTCTGCCTCAGCAATTTCACTACATCCCCATGTTCTTCCTAGAACATCCTCTTGGCACTAACCCAAATCTGCTGTCTCCTAAGAGCCCATCCTTTTCCCACCTCAAGGCCTCGAGGTGGGTCAGTGTCCTTTTTGTGCCCATTCTGACTTCCCAACCATCATTCCTTCACCTTCTGTTAAAAACCTCTGCTCCTCTGAGGACATGTGGCTGTACCAGCTTTCTCTTCTCTTCTCTTCTTCACTCACTGAAGATTCTGGCACTTGGCTCAGAGTCTCCTCACTATTACACTTTCTTGATGACTTTAACATCAACTTTTCACGTACTGGCCTGATTCCTTGACCCCCTGCCACAATCACAGCTTTAACAATGTCAATAACACCTACAACTACTCCGACATAGGACTCACTGATTTAGAACTCCAACTCCAACCACAGCCTCACATCTTTCTGCACTGATTGTCACCTCCATCCTCTCCTGCTCTCTCCACCCTCATCCAGTTCTGGTTCTATGGCTCGTCACTTCAATGCTCTCTTGCCAATACCATGAACTCCTTTCCTCTCTGCTTTCCTCCCACGTATCCAGGAAAACACCACCCCTACATGTACCCAAAGAGCCAAGGGCTGCTGGAAAAACTCTCAGATGCTGGCCAATGATGCCACTAAAAACTCCGGCTCTCTGGTCTTCCCTATCCGATAGTTACACTGCATTCCCCCCCACCCCCCCATTTCTTTCCACTTTCCACAATGAGCACTGCAACCTCTTCAAGAATCCTTAGCCTCCTCATTCCCTTTCCATTCCTCTCACTCCCTCCTTTTGACAAGAATGGAAACACACTTAAGTCTTCAAATACAACTTTTGTTTTGTTTTAGTGGTTCATGTTTAATTTTTCTGTAAGTACATGTGTGCTGAAGGTTGTTTGGTCTTTAGTTTGGTGCAGTATCCTATATATGACAGTGATAAAATAGAACGTTCTTTTCTTAATGTAAGAGGAGTTTCAATCTAGTGGGTTCACATCAGAACTAAGTAACTGCCATGGATTCTGCTGTGTTGAAACCTTTCCTAACAGTAGTGGGTGAGATCCGTGAGTGATATCACAGTCCGGTTTTACATCCGGTAGTCACTTGGGGTTGGGAAGACAGTCTCATTCTGTTTCTGAGACTGCTCATTAAAAAACTTAAAAAAAAGTCCCACCTTTCTATTGTGAATTGGGGGAAGGTTTACAGAGTAGATCATCAGTTTTACATTCAACAAATCATACACACTTCGTTTCATCTCATTGAATACAATCCCTTCAGGGAAACATCATTTATCTCACTTCTTATCTGTGTGTCTTGTTTTCATTCCTCCTTTCCCAACCCTTCTTTAGTCCTAGGGAAAATGCTGCCTTTTGATCTCAAATGGTTGACCATTCAATGCTGAGCTTACCTCAGTAGTGTGGTAGTTTTCCCTACAGACCTATCAATTACTTGGCTGAAAATTGAGCCTGGGGGATAAATTCAGTTCCATACTTGAAGGGTGACAAAAGGTTATAGTCTCAGGGTTCCACCAGTCTCTCTCTGACCAGTAAGCCTGGCATTTTTAATATGATTTTGAGTTTTTTTTCACAATTTCTCCCACTCTATCCAGGATCTTCTAATGTGGTCTCTTATAGAGCAGTTGGTAGTAGTATCTAGACACTATCTAGTTCTTCTGGTCTCAGGGTCAAGAAGACTGGTGTTCACATGTTCCATTAGTCCATTGGACTAATTGTTTCCAAGTGTCTTCAATTCTTAACACTGTTCTTTCCTTTACACAGGAAGACCAATAGTTGCACCTTAGATGGATACACATGAGCTTTTAAGAACCCAGTCACTCTCATTAAAGTAGGATGTAGAACATTGTCTTTGTGGACTGTTATGCCAATTGATCATGGTGTCCCCTGAGGCTATGGTCCTGAGCTCCCAAACCCAGTGACTCATTCCCTCAATGTGTTTGGTAATGTCTAAGACATTTTCATAACGTTGCTCCCTGTATGCACCACCATATTCATGGATATGTTTACACCAAATGTAAATACCCATGCACAAATATCCTCTGTCAAACCTATATATATATATTCATTTAAAAGCTTTAATCTCACCTTTAATCCAGAGCCCTTCAGGTTCTAGTAGAGATTCCTGCAACTTGGAGCTGCAGGCAGGAGAATGGCTTCACCTACCCTTCCGGCTCTGGTGCTGCAGGTGGAGGGCTTTGGAACCCAAAGGCATATGCTAACCTGGCTAGTTGTCTATGGTCCTGATGGGGACAAATGGGACTCAGTTCTAAGCAATGTCCTTGGTGCTGTAGACCTCTTTCCAGATGCAGCTTTACCTCCCTCCTTTGTGTGCATCTCTACTCTGAGTTACCTGTAATCTCAGCAGACTGTAGCGCTGGAATCTCCATGCCCCTCCCATCTCCTGATGCCAAGCACATGGGAGCCAGAACCTTGAAGCAGGAAGCCAACCTGACAGCACCCACCATGCCATCTCTTCTGGTGAACAGACCCCACCTGGAGGGAAGTTCCCCTTCCCCAGCCCCTTACAACCGAGGAGAGGAAAGAATGAGGAGAAGAAATGGTTTCTCTTCATGTACTATTGTCCTTCAAAGGTGATGCTAGTGTCTCTCCAAGAACTCTTACACTGACAGGGTGAGTGTCCTTTGCGGGGACTAGTGCTGCCATAAAACAAACAAAAACCCACATAATTTGTCAATTTTCACCCAAATCACAAAAAAAAGGTGAAAAAGAGAAATTTTTACAAATACATCCAAAAGTGGTTTTAAATAATAGAAATGTATTTTTCATAGTTCTGGTGACTAAGAGCCTGCATTCAAGGCATTGTCAGGGCTGTTGGTTTGTAGATGGGTCCTCACATGACCTCTTCCCCGGGTGTCTCTGTTTTTGTGTGTGTTCTCCACTTTCATAAAAATTACCACTCCGAAGGGATTAGGATTCACCCTACGCCCCATATGACCTAATGTAACTGATAACAGTTTGTTATTAGTTGCCATGGAGTCAGCTCTGAATCATGGTGAAGTAAATAGTACTCAGCCCTGTGTGAGCTTCATGATCACTGGCATGTTTGAGTCCTTGTTACGGTTATTGTATCTTCCCATCTGATTGAAGATTTCCCTCATTACTGATAACAACAGAAAATCCTATTAACAAACAACTCACTCTCCTAAAACTGGCATTAGGAATCAAACGTAACTTTTTTTGGGAAACATTTCAATCCATAACACCTCTCAACTGTTATTCCCTTCACATGAGCTCCTGGCAGACCTCTTAACTTCTCCCCTAATTACAATGATAGTGGTTAGACCCTGACAGCCCTGAATGATGACTGCATTCTGGACCATCATGTTCTCTATCCACAGAAATAGAGTCAGCTTCAAAAGAAACAAAAGGTGGGATAAAGGCTGGTGCTAGTTGGGGAGCAGTAAGAAAGGCACAAGTGTTATATACCTGCTTCCCCAAAAGAATATGCCTGTAGGTTTGTCATTGATGTCATATTCATGGATTTGATTTCACTTTTCATACGTTCCACTTACTTCCAGTTCCCAGTGGACCTCCATCAACAACCATCTTGGCGTCCTCCAACAAAGTGAATGGTGGCGATGATATCATTGTCCTCTGTACTGTCCTAGGGGAGCCTGATGTTGAGGTGGAATTCAGGTGGATCTACCCAGGACACCAGGTAAGCCCCATGCCTCAGTCTCAGGGTTCTTTTGTGCTTCAGTGAGACAGGCCCATACTTAAGAAGTACAGGAAAACTGCTTGGCCTAGTATGTTTACAAATGGATTTTTTTAAGGATAGGAAGAAAAAGTGACAGAGTTCCATTGACAATTCCCTCAATGTACTCTCTTCAATGCAATTTTTAAAATCAATTAAGAAGGGTCTGGGTCACAAAAGGGACAGGAGGTGGTCTACTAGAAGCTATTCTAACCTTCCCATTGCCTTCAAAATTTTCTCTATATAAGCTGTCTCCTGTGGCATTGAATTCAATGTTCCAAATGAGCATTGAAACATAAGCTCTGTCCAAAAGGTGCTGAGGCCAGAGATCATTTCAAAATAGACTTCTTATAAAAGCAACTACCACATATTTAGCCTTTGTGCATGTTCTGCTCACTAAAATAAACAACTATGCTATCAACATGGAATAATCCCTTTGTTGCCAAAAGAGATTTGGTCTCCCAAGACATACTCAAGAGCTAATACACTTCTAGCTTACAGGCTGTGATTGGTGGAAAACAACTCTCCTTGGAGAATAGCATCTTCTAGCATCCTGGTGCTCAATACTCGTTTTTAAAATGCTGCCACACTTTGACTACACTAATGATGTTTAAAAAAGAGGCTGGCTTTTTACATTGTTAATTGGCATTTTATGAGCAGCAAGGGTGTTTATTTGGTGTATTAAAAATATTAGTTGTGTGAAACTAATAAAGGAAACATGTTCTTATCACCAAAGATGGCTGCAGCATCTTAGAAATGACTCACTTTCTAGAAAGAAAGTCATCTAGGATGTCTTATTCATCTGGGTACTTTTCTCCCCTTCCCTCTCCCAAATCAGAACAATTGTTGTTGTTAAGTACCATGGAGTTGGTTCTGACTCATAGTGATCCTGCACAGGGTTTCCGAGGCTGTAAATCTTTACGGGAGCAGAAAACCTCATCTTTCTCCCACAGAACGGCTGGTAGTTTTGAACTGCCAACTTTGAGGTTAGCAGCCCGGATTTGTAACCACTACACTAATCATTTATGCTTCAGGCCTTTTTTTTTTTTTAAACTCTAAATGATTTGACTAAAAACCACTTAGCTAGGGAGTGAAAATGGGCAGAGTTAGAAGGGGTGGAGTGGAAATTTTGATGCATTTGTTTCTATGGCAAAAAGCAGTTCCACTTTCTTGGAATTTCAAAAGAATAAACTCAATATTAAGTAGAAACTTATTGAAGGAAAAAGCAGAGTGAGCCAAACAGCTAGGGAAATTCAAGACTACTTGGAAAAAAATGCAGCCTAAAATGTATAGTGTAAAAGCTCTCACAGCCTAGGAGCTACACATATCAAATGGGCTTTTTCTCTAAGCATGTGGTTTACATTTTGAAAAGAACCTTCAGCAGTGCTGGGTGAATGGGAGCTGTTAAAAGCAGTTTGTTGGTGCTTCAGTCTGTGTGGGTGTTGTTAAACAGAGTGAGAGACCCGTGATGATTCAAGACACTTGGAGGCTGATCCACAGAGGATTTGGACACACCACAAGAATTTCCCAGAGTGTCATTACAGTTGAAGACTTCGAGACCATTGATGCAGGATATTACATTTGTACTGCTCAGAATCTCCGAGGACAGACGACAGTAGCCACCACTATTGAGTTTTCCTGACTTGGAAACAAAAGTATAATGAACTGATAGGAAGTCCATATGCTTATATGATCAGCTCTGTGGCTCTTTTGACCAGTACTTAGCCAGAGGCTGATGTCCAGTGCCAATCCCCACCCTTTGATTCCTGAGCCAGAAGGAAGTCATCTGGTCTAATAATAGAAATGTTAACTTTATAACAAAAAGCATGTCTTTTGACTGCTTACCTACATATTTGTGTTTCCAGTGTTTACACAAAGCACATATGTGAACAACTTTATATAATCATTCCAATTAAATGAGCAAGTTTTTGTTAAAAAAAAAAAAAATAATGGGCTAAGTGTTCTTTTTTAAACTTGCTTGAAGTCTAGCTAGAAGGACCTTACTGGAAGTGGACCGGTACCTAGTATTGTATTTGATGTGACAACTACAATGCACCCTGATTTTTAAAAAGCATCTCTATTACAAAGAACCAGTTGCCATTGAGTTGACTTGGACTCATGGCAACCCCAAGTGTGTCAGAGGAGAAGTGCGCGTCAAAGTTTCCAGCGATTGATTTTTCAAAAGTAGATTGCCAGACTTTTCTTCCTAGGCATCTCTGTGTGAACTTGAACTCCAACCATTCAGCCAAGTGCATTAAGCATATATACTACCTAAGGACTCCACTATTCACCCATGAACAGCAAGTTGAGATTCAATTGCTTACATGTGTCAATTTTTCTAAATAGCTGAGTTAAACTTATAAAGACATGGAAACAAATCACGTATACAGGAAGTCCTGAAGTACATTGTACTCAAGTTAACTACACTTACAACTCAAGTTTTAACTCAAGTTGTAGCTACACTTACAGCCATTCTTTTTAATATTTTGTACATCTTATTGTATTAGGTACTATGTACAGTTTGCTGATGTTATCATTCTCAGATGTAATGTTTCTAGCCTCTAAAGACAAATAAAGATTGGATTTAATGAGATTTAATAAGATAGTGATAATAAAAGGCCATACTTTAAAAAAAAAAAAAAAGTATTCAACTTATGTCAGAACTGACTTAAAGAGTCGTCAGAATGGACTACCTATATTTGCTTAATTGCTGTTCTTAAAAGCACTGGTATGGTGCTGTAATATAAGCACTGGACTGTTAACCACAGGTTGGCAATTTAAATCCACTAACTGCTCCTTGGAAGCCTTATACAGGGTCACTATGAGTCGGAACTGACTCGACAGCACTTGACAAGACTAAGAAGGGAATCCTAAGTTAATCCAACCAATAAGAATTAGAACGTATGTTTTTAAAAGTTAGCTTGTTGTTGTTAGGTGCCATTGAATCAGTTCTAACAGAATGAAAAACTGCCCAGTCCTGTGCAAGCCTCACAATTGTTAGTTACTGCTGCTGCCACTGTGTCAATCCATCTCATTGGGGGTCTTATTCTTTTTCACTCGCTTTCCACTTTACCAAGCATGATGTCCTTCTCTAGGGACTGGTCCCTCCTGGTAATTTGTCCAAAGCTTTAGAGAGAAAGTCTCACCATCCTGGCTTCTAAGGAGCATCCTGACTCTACTTCTTCTAATACAGATTTGTTTGTACTTCTGGCAGAATATTAAAAGAATACTTTTAATATTCTTCGCCAACACCATAACTCAAATGCATCGATATGTCTATGGTCTTCCTTATACATTGTCCAACTTTCACATGCATATTAGGCTATTAAAAATGCCTGGTGTAGTGCTGTGGGTTAACGCACTGGACTACAGAGTCATTTGAACCAAAACGTCAGTGGTTCAAGATTACCAGTCACTCCTAGGAAACCCTATACAGGGTCACTATGGGTTGGAACCAACTCAATAGCACTTAACAACAACAACAGGTCAGGTGCATCTTAGTCTTCAAACTGACATCTTTGCTCTTGAACTCTTTAAAGAGGTCCTGTGTAAAACATTTGTCAAATGCAATACACCATTTGATCTCTTGACTACTGCACTTCCATGAGTGTTGATTTAAAAAAGTTAAATTTTATTGAAAACATAGGCACAGATCGAGAAGAGCCATGTTTGTTTTAACCATCGTCAAAAGTATTGAGACCACAAAAATCAAACTAACCCACTGCCATTTAGATCTGACTTCTTGTTGTTGTTAAGTGCCGACGAGTGGCTCAGTTCTGACTCAGCGACCCTATATAGGGTTTCCGAGACAGTAAACCTTTATAGAAGCAGACAGCCTCGTCTTTCTCGCATGGAGCAGTTGTGGGTTTGAACCACCAACCTTGTGGTTAGCAGTGCAGCACTTATCCCACACAGCACTTTTTTTTTTTAACCTTACACACAGAAACTGTTAAAACCAATCAAGATTTATTTCTTGAATATACCTAACTGTGAATTTAGGAAAGCAGAGCTTAGCTCTAAGCCCAGGCCCATGAGCCATATATTTCCCTTCATGCCCAATTTTGTGAATGTATTAGAAATTCCTGAGACATAATCTTCAAGACTGTGCTATGAGATGGGCTATAAATCTGATCCCATTTTGAAGAGTGTAACATGCCAGAGGCTGCAAATCTCATATTGAATATTCCAGCATTATTTATTTGATCAAAGTAAAATACACTTTCCATCATCACTACAAACTAGTAACAACTACAGTTGGTTACACATCCGTATTATTTTATGATGTGCCAACATTTTGCATCTTACAGGAAACATTTGGTTTGAAAAAAATCATAAAATTTTCTATTTTATTTCCTATCTTCTCTCCTGTTGTCTCCCATCCTCCAGAGACATTTTATAGTAACTGCTGTAAGATTTATTTCCCCAGACACCTAAACAGCATGGAGGATGGTAGGGAACAGCACAGGATTTACCATGCATGCGAGATGAATGGCAAACCCAACTTTGGCTAATGACATTGAGAAAAACTTGGAAGTGTCAGAAGAGAAATTCCAGGTGGTGGCAGTGAGCCTACATTCTAATGTATCAGAAACAAACATGAGAGGTTACATACATAATAAACTATTGGAGGTTAAAGACTTCAGACACCATCACTAAAAAAAACCAAAAAACATGCATCATGAATATCACTTTGCTATGTAGTGTACAAGGAAATCATGACTCAAATATCCACCCCTAGTATCCTGAATTTGTTTTTACTATAGGGGTTATCCATGCAGCCATCAAACGTCAGCAACACAGGTGAGTAAACACTGACATCAAAAGTTGACACGTGCAGAATGAGGGAGAAAAAGCCACAGCTCTTCTACCTTCCCCCAGGTTTCAGAATTGGGGGTGGATGGATAATAAATGAAGTTTTGGTTAAGAAACTGAAATGTAACTTGAAGGACAATTGGACAAGCTGCATTTTCCACTTACCAGTTGGCCATTTCTGTTCCCTTCCCAAGGCCAAAAAGATTCTTCAAAGTGTACAGGGAAACAACATCACCTTCCCAGAATGTTTTGTTCTATTAAAATACTGCATCACTGGTTTAATCAAGGGGCCCCGAGTCAATAAGCAGCACTTGCTGTTAGCTTCTTAGTTCTGTTAGTCAATGACTTTCTCACTCTTGTTCTTTATTCTAAGATTTCCCAAAACTTGTAGTATCAGGTCCAGGCCTTAGCTTGTTTGGAAAGTGGTTTCAGCACCTTGAAAATTAGCTGACTTTGGAAAAGCATATTCCTTCTCCTTGTCCCAGAGAAAAGAAGTGGGGAGGTAGAAGGTTGGCTTTTGTGGCTCTGGATGGTGGCAAGAGGGAAGGGGTAAATGTTGAAGAACGGGAGAGAAGATGACAGTTCCAATCTGCAAGGATAGCTTAGATCAAGGTAAAAATAAGGCAGAACCAATCCATTAATACTGCCCTTTTTCTTTATACAGATTTTTAGAAAAATTAGGGTTCTACATTTGCTGATAGCCTGAGAAAATGGATCATAGTATGGTGCTAGGATCACATGGGTAAGTTAAAAATCATCAGAAAAACTTAGCTAGTTTCAACTGACAAGGCTGAACATTGAAAAACAGCCAACAGAGTTACTCCAAACAGATACAGAGAATGCACACAGACCACTCAAAGCTGGTCCTGCCATACTCTCTGCCCTCATGTCAAAGGGCTGAGCGGAGTTGGTGATAATCACAATTCAAGCAACTATTGCTCTTTCATCTATGGCTTTTGTTGACATGTGTACACTATTATTTGATTAGTACATATCCAAGTATATTCAGCTTTTGATTTTCAATACACAGCAACAGACCCAGGACACAAATACACCCATTATTTCATTCACACAGCCTCAGTCAGACTGAAATAAAAATCACAAGAAGGTGTCTGTGGTGAAGAACATTATAAAGGTTATAAATCTTTATCTTAATAGGCCCCTGAGAGTTTTTCCCCTTATGCGTAGGTGAAAAAGGCAATGAACAAGGTTCTCTCGTTCTTTAAGTGCTTTGTGCAACAACGTTCACATAGATGAATTCCAAGATCCTCTTTGGAGGAGAAATTTGTCTTACTCCAACTCAAAAGTCTTACTCCAGAGTTCCAGTCTCCTAAGTAGCCCATTCCAGTGGTGGTTACTTTCCAGTTATATGTGATCATCACACGTAAGCTACTGTAGCTCTTGCTCCCATGGTCATCATTAGGGTCAGCCCTGCAGACCTGTAGCAAAATGCTTCCAGGCAGTCTCCCAGCTTCCAGAAAGCGTCATCTGGGCGAGACGTTGGGACTGGGAAAGGAGCCAGAATTTCTTGGCGACTGAAAAGGGATTGCTGAGGACGTGGGAGACTTCTTGGGGCTGCACAAGTCCCCGTTGTGCAGTTTCCAGAGCAGCTCCTCGTTCTCCATGGACAGCCGCTTATTGACTTTCGACTCCTTCTCCAGCGACTCCTGGAGAACAGCCTGCTCGGTGGAAAGTTGTCTTAAAAACAAACAAACAAAAAAATGGCCAAGAACCATGGTTAACATTTAACTGGAGAACAGCTCCCTGTTCCTTTAGGTTTGGAACTATAAAATCAATCCCTTTGGAACAAAATGGATTTGTGCCCAGAGGTATGGGTCACAGGCATTTCGGTGGTAGAGCCACCTTAGAAATGTGGGCTTGAGCTGGCAGTGAGAAGGGGGAGCTTTCTCTTTTTGGCAGTTTCAACAGCAGGCCGAGTGACACAGCCACACAAATGTTATTACACACCTTTAAGACTATCTTCAATTTGGGGCTGTTTTCTATTTGGTTTCAAGTTGTTCTTCTCCTGAAAACAGTCTCAGAGTCAGGAAGCCTGGGGGTGGGGGCCGAGTGTGCACACGCTTCCTTGTTTAGGTCTATGTTTGGTCCAGGCCATTTTGGCACAATATGAAGTGGTGAAATAATGACTCTCAGATGGTAATTAGTACTCCCCCATGTAACCATCCCCTTCAGTCTTTCATTTCCAAGAAGCCCATGGGTGGAGTACAGCAAGAAAGTTACACTGTTCAAGAAAGGGAGAAAGAAACTCTGGGACAAGTTTTACCTTGAAATTGCCATGTGCTTATCCATCCGAGCTTTTAATTCCTCATTTTCCTGCTGGAATCGCTTCAGTTTGTCAACCAGGGCTGTGTTGTTGTCCACCTTGGTGTAAACAAGAATTCCAAAATTTAGAAAGTATTTCAAAAATGACACAGCTCTCATTTCCTACAGCATATTCCTGACACACTCATGCACCAGGGGAATTAGAGAGACTATAAATATAGTATCTGGATATTATTTCAAATGTATGCTAGGCCAACTGAAAGCAGAGACATTGGAGGGTAAGTGATTTGTTCCAGGCCTCAGGGCTTTAGGATTCACTCTGAAAACTGGTACCCTGAGCAATCCCGGGGCTCGGCTGCTTTCAGTTTCAAGTTAGTAAAACAAAACAGCAGCTGAGGCAGCCAACATTTATCCAAACCCCAAACACCAGCTGCTGTTAACTCTGACTTATGAGGATTTCATGTATGTCACAGCAAACTGTGCTCCGTAGGGTTGAAACAGCTGATTTTTTGTAAGTACATCATCAGGCCTTTCTTCTGAAGTGCCTCTGGGTGGAACTGAACCACCAGCCTTTCGAGCATGGGTTCTACAGATTCTTATGGTGTATTTCTGCAAATAAAATTCCCACATTGATAAAAGCCTCACAGGCTAGTATTTCTTAATTCTCCGAAATGTTTGTTGTTGTTGTTAGGTGCCATCAAGTCAGTTCCAACTCATAGCAACCCTATGTACAACACTGTACAACAGAATGAAACACGTACCATCCTCCCAATTGTGAAGATAGCAATGTGTGAGGTGGCCTTAAATACGGTTTCATAGTTCTTCTTTGGCATTCACCTCTCAGTGGGCACAATAAATCAGCAACTGAACAAAATTACATCGAGCATCAATTGAAAAAAGGGACACAGCAGAAAGCCTTCCTTGACAGTTCAGTCTCAGATAGGCATGGTACTTCTGCTGGTCTGCCCAAGCTAAACTTCCAAGAAAACCAGATCAATCAGTTGAGAGATTATAGGATAAGATCCCTGAAGATATTTGATCACTTAACATGATGAAGAGTGGATTACATCCCAGTTCACATTCTAAAGGTAACGTTTTATTTATTGTTTAAGAGGAGACATCATAGCTCTGTCAGAATTTATTCTAAATCTTTGGTCACTGCAGCATATGACTAACAACTTTAATTATGGCTTCTAGTGTTGGAGTCCTATGGTTCTTAAGGTATCCTACTACCTAGACAATGCTTGGGACAAGTCAGTCTGGTGAAAACAACTTCCCAGAGAATGGGATTTTAATGTAAGAAAAGGGGGCCTTGGAGTTTTAATAATTATAAAGGAATTCAAGAGAAAACAAAGGTGGGAAAAGCTGGAATTAGAATCTGGATGCTGACTGGCCCTGATTACCTATTCCAATCCCACCATTTTTAGAAGAGGAAACTAACCATGGTGGTGTCACCAATGAGTTACTGGGAAAGCATTCTTATTTAGGGAAATCCTCCCTGCTTTCTAAGGATCTTATTTTCTACGAAGGCCTGAAGCTTACAAACAAACAAACAAAAAATGATAACTGGATTTACCTGTCAGCTTATCAACCCATTCTTCCACATCTACACAACTAATGCTGACCAAGACAGTCATGGCACGTCTGGGGGCAGGGCAAGAAACAGAAATACTTGATGGATGAACAAGAATGACTATTTGATGGTAATTTTATAGCAGTCTGTTACGTGTACGTAACAAAACATTTGATGCATGAATAGGTCGTAAGGCACAGAGTTATCTGAGTCGTCATTGACTGTAAGGTCACTGAGTTATCAGTTCTGACACAGCTGGATGACCTTTGGCAGGAAGTCATTTTTGTACCACACTAGCCCCATTAACAAACCACATCTAAGTTTCTTTCAAAACACAAAACTTCCTTATGATTCAAAGTGCCCATTACAGAGATGGGTACTTCCCCTTTATCTATCTCCCTCAGTAGAACATAACAGATGAACACAAACCATCCTCCCACCCCTCAAAAAACCCCAAGTAGACAAATACAAAAGCATGGCTTCCATGCTTCCTATTGTCTAAGCTTGTTTGGGTTAAAATGAGACACTTACTCAACAAGAAGTCAGTCATAATGGGAGGGGGAGCAAACAGAGCTAGGCAGCTGGCACAGACAAGAGCAAAGTAAACAATGGCTGGGATCATGTAAGCTGCCTTTCCAAACAGTCACCTTGGTTAGATGTCTACATAATACCTGCTATGTGCCAGGATGGGCCAAGATTGACACTGAATGCTAGGCATGCCACTCAAACACATATAATTCTTGGTAGACCTGTCATACACTAACATCAGTTCTTTATCCTCAAGGCTGCAAACTATCTTTTGTTCATATATTTCACAGTGTTTGTGCTATTTGTCCAATTGAGTTCACTTTAGTAAAATACAATTCTTTTAACACATTCTAATTCATAAAAAATAAGATGAAAACATCCCATTGTTTACTTCTTAAACAAGAAATAAAAAAATTATTTAAGACTGAATTGCTCCAATGGGATTAATTTATGCTTCTAACTCGTTTGGACATAAGAAACTTGCCCAGAGTTGAAGATACTTTTTTAAAAATACTGGTTTTAAATTATTTAAAATTTTTTCTAATGCAGGTGATGATTTGCAGACCACTGCAATAAGAAGTTGATGTGTCTATTATAGTTTCTCTATTCACCCAAATGTGCTTGACATGCTCCTTAAGTAAGGAACATACAAGCAATGAAAAAGCAAATCTGGAAAAGAAAATGTACCCTTCCTTTATCTTTTATATGGTTCCCAAGTTCAATTACTATTTTGCAAATACTGACTGGCTTGGTAAGCCCCTCAGTCCATTATTCTGAAGAAAGCACATACCAGTTTTTCCATTTTCATTAACTTGATGTCCTGTTGATGTAGTTTCTCATTCTTGATTTCTAGCACCGCTTTCAAGCTTTCTAATTCTTGTTCCAGATACATGAGCTGAGGGTTTTTCTGGAAGAGACAAGGTAGAGCACCTCTGTGACTGATCATTTCACACTTTCATACAGTCCAGATTCTTAATATAAATGACATTTGATGACATTTAGAAATAAAACAGATAAATCTATTTCTAAAGTAGCAAGTGACTTACATCTTCTTATCACAGTGTTAGAGAAAAAGGTGAAAAAGAAGGGTTAAAATAATTTTACTCTCAAAGATTGGTCATAATATGAAGTAATAACAACAAACATTTCATTCATTCACTGGTAATTTAATATTGAGAAAAATGTTGGTAGCACTGAAGAAGTCCTTTACTGGGAGGAGAAAGGGGAGCTATAACTTTAACCAAAAAAAAAAAAAAAATGACAGGAATAGAAAGAGTACATTTATAGAGCTCTTTAGAAACTGACATGCAGCCCTGTTTCATGCTGCCTTTGAATAAAATGATCAGAGTGTGACCCTAGTCAACAATGTACTAAGTTTTTTGGTGCTTACTTGTGATGGCCTAAATTGGTCTGGTCATACTCTATGGCAGCCATGATCACTCTTAACATTTTATTTGTTAGCAACTACGGTACCTACATGGCATATAGCACATGCCCTACCCTACTAAAACTCTATCAAAAATAAACATTCTATCTGTTGTTGTTAAGTGCCGTCTTGTCGGTTCCAACCCACAGCGACGGTATAAATCTTTACAGGAGTAGAAAGCCTCATCTTTCTCCCATGGAGCAGCTGGTAGTTTTGAACCGCTGACCATAAGGTTCGCAGCCCGATTCGTAACCACTACGCTACCAAAGCTCCTTAAACATTCTATCTCAGAGCACATTATCAGTGTGAAATCCCCTCCCCCGCTCCTTGATTTATTTATGGAACTCCAACTGGACCAATGCTCATGATGCAGATTAAAGTACATGACCAACTAACAAATGAGGAACTACCGTCAAGGACAGAGGTTTCTTCTCTAGACCAATCCTTAAAACAAAAGAAATAGGGACTGGGAGAGCTGGAATGACCTCTGGAGATGAGCTAATCCAAACCCCTCACTTCACAAGAGAAAATGTATTCCAGTGACCTGCTCCATTCCAGAACTGAAACACAGCAGGGACTACCACCCACATCTGCAATCCCAGAACGCTTTCAAGAATTTCACATATCATGTTATCTTTCCTTTTACATAATGATTTTTTTTAATCCACGAAACCAATCCCACCTCATTTTTGTCACAGGGGAGGCTACATAATTTGCTCTGTTGCTTTTTAAACCAATACCCTTTTCCTACTCTTTTCAAAAGCACTTCAGTAGGAGAACTACCATTACAAACCAAAAAGCTTCTTTAAAATCACTTCCCGGAATTATTAGTTATGCTTACACCCGGCAGGTTAATTCTAAATTCCTTTTGAAATCACTGACTTTTCTAAGAATCTTCTAGAATAAATAACTTTGAGGTTCCATTGAATATAACCTGATCTAATATGTTAAAATGGGGCAGTCGAATAAGAGTACAAGTTGCAAGAAAAAGTTAAGTCTACAAGAGAAATCTGTATTTTTCAAAAGTGAAGTTTTTAATCCCACAATGGAATATTATAATGCCATAAAAAGAACAAAGTCCTGATACATGCTACAACATGGATCAACATTGAAAGCATTATGCTCAGTGCCAAACACAAAAGGCCAACATATTATATGATTTCTTTTTTATAAAAGAACTGTCCACAAAAGAAAATCCACAGAGACAGACAGTTTATTAATAGCTGTCAGGGTTTGGGGCTGAGAAGGGAATGGAGAATGACTGCTAATGGATACAGTTTTTTTGGGAGGTAATTAAAGTCCTGGAAGTAGATATTGTTGATACATCATTTTATGAACATGCTAATAAACTACTGAATTGCAGAAAGGGTGAACTTTATGGCATGTGAATTGTATTTCACTAAAGCTGTTGTCATAAAAAGTAAATAAATCTTCACATTAAACTCCAGTCCTAATTAATAACGTGTTCTCGTCTTCCTGTAGGTTTTTAGCTTGTACTTCTCAAAATATGGGGACTCCTGGTGTGGCACTGTAGGATCACAGAACCACTAGGTTGGACCACACGGATAGCAGTTCAAACCCACCAGCTGCTCCTCGGAAACCCTATACAGGGTTGCTATGAGTTGGATCCAACTTGATAGCACTTAACAACAACACTCAAAATGTGGAGTCCTGGTGGGGCACTATACAATAAGCATTGGACTACAAAGTCAGTTTGAAGTGTAAGAGTGGTTCAAACCCACCAGCCACTCTTCAGAAACCCATACAGGGTCGCAGAGTTGGAACAGACTCAATGGCACTTAACAACAATAACTTAAAATATACTGGACTTCATCTATATATCAGTATTAGGATTAAAAAAAGATACTAATAAACAAAGCAGCTGTTTTATACTGTTTTAAAAGTATATCGCAAGACACAGGATTTCAAACCTGTTATTATTTTTCTAATTGCTGAACACTTGAGTGATGGACTCTAAAAGGCAACTGAGCAAAAAGAAAATTCAGGATGCTGAAGGAGCACACCCGACTTACTAAATTTGCTTTCTCTTTTGATATTCTTTTTTGCTCTTCTGATTTCAACTTTTCATTTAAAGTATCATTTTCACTCTTCAGATTGTTGATTTGTTTCTAAAACACAACGGTGATAGATGAAATGTAAGTTAGCAAGCAGACATAACCAATGTACACAGAACCATACCCCAAACACACAAACATCAACAATAATGATTTTTTTTTTTTTTCCCCGAGCTTTACATACCTCTAGTGAATCCTGTTTCTCATAATGCAAATCCTCAAGTGATTTCTTTTCCATTTCATGGCTTCTCTTGATTTCTGGAAAACAGTGATATTTTTTGAGGCAATAATGTTCTGTGAGCTTACTGTATTCTACAATTGCTAAAGTGAACTTGATGCAGGAGTTGATTATGAAACAACATGCATCTGCTATTACACATTTGTATGATGCTTGTATGTACATGAAGTCATCTGTCCCTTAAAGCATCCCTCCATGGTAGGCTGAGTTCCCAATGTACAGCTGAGAGCACTGAGGCCCACAGAGGCTAAGCCACCTTGTAGCCTCGCCCTCAGACTGGTACTCCTGGTCTAGAGCTCTGTTAGTTCTCTTTCGATTTACTCTTCATGAAACAAACTGGATTCCTGGTGTGGTGCTGTAAGATACACAGTGGACTGCTAACCACGAGGTTGGTGGTTCAAACCCTCCAGCGCTCCTCAGAAACCCTACATGGGATCACTATGAATTGGAATGGACTTGACAGCATTTAACAAAAGCAACAACAAACCCATTTTTAGCAGAAAGGAAGGAAAGAAAACAACATTTACTAAATGTCTACCTTAGGTCAGTAACCTTTGCATGTTCGTGCCTCTGACTTTACACAACAATTTGATATTTCTGATGAAAATGACCCTTTCTAAAGATCACATGGCCACTTCTCACTGTACTTCCACTGTGTCTCTGCAGGATGCAGTGAGCTCAGTGTGAAAACTTCAGCTACCCTGGCAACTGTGTTCTGAAAGAAATGGCTCCTAAGTCTTTCAATTTCAACCCCTCCAATCATGTTGAATGAAATAACAAAATGGACTCCTTATACAAGAAATGCCATTACATTCCACAATGTGTCAAGTGTGTGCAGCATGGATCCGTGACTGTGGATAGGACCCAAGTGACACCATTGTTGTTGTTAAGTACCATGGAGTCATAGCAGCCCTGTAAAGGGTTTCCAAAGAGTGGCTAGTGGGTTTGAACCATTGACCATTAGCTTCCCAATAATCTAAGCTGGTAAAGTGCAACCTCCACTACCAAAATGTGCTTTTAAAATCTTTCAGGGTTCATTTTATTTCCTAAAAGGCTGGAATTTACAAGCAATGATTAGCAATCCATTAATAGCATCCATTAACAATGAACAATACCAAAAGAAACCAAGAACGCTCCAAACTGAGTGGCACAGAGCAGTCTTTGTATGGGAAAGTTATGAATCATTTCTCTTTTATAACATATCTTTGTGTTCCATTAGCTCTTATTCTGTTTAAATAGAAAAGCATCCTTGCCTGAGAGGGAGGTTTCATATGCCTTCTTTAGCAATTCTACTTTTTCTGAATGGCTAGCTTCAATCTCCAACTTAGAAGTTTCATGGGCAGCATTTAAGTTGTCAAACTGTAAGAAAAAAAACAAAAAAATAGTTTTCTAGTAAAACCAAATGCCCTAACTTGAATATTCAAGCAGCAGCATGAGAAGACATATAAATCTGAATTTAAGTTTAAGGGCATCCTAACATAGGGAGTCTGGATGTGGTGCTGTGGGATAAAGCGCAGGATCCCAAGGTCATTTTGAACCACAAGGTCAGCAGTTCAAAGTCACTAGCTGTTTCTTGGAAATCATATACAGGGTCTCTATGAGGTAGAATCGACTCAACAGCACTTAACAACAACATAGATAACAAGCAACCTGACTTGGACTTGCTTGTCTTCCTGGACAACAGCACACAAATGCTCCAGGGTCCACTGGTAGAAATGTCTGAGATGCCATCATCAGGAGTGAGGATCTTTATCACTGGTATGGGGCCATACAGATCCACATCATTCTCACTGTTATAGCCTGTTCCTATCATATAGTATGTAAGCCCTCTGTAAATATTTGCTAAATGACTAACTGTTAAAATTTTAAAAGGAAGTAAGAAAATTAAAAAGAGGTCTAGGTTGATGTTAAAAAACAACAACCAAAAAGGGTTATAAAGACGTGCCATTTAGAGAAAAAAACCCCAAAAAACTAATGTTTAGCATAACACCTAAGTGCTTACAAAGATATTATCATCTCTGGGGAGTGGGATAAAGGGCTTTTCTTAATTTTCTTTATTTCTTTCACTCAACATATGTATATTACTTTGATCATAAGAAAAATGTTTAATTGAACACAACCAAAAACCCATTTGTACCTATTAAACAAAATAAAACAAAGAGAAGGTCATTATTGGATTGGAGCAACTGCCAGAATTTAATAACAAAGAGCAAGAATATGCTCAGGTTCCCAAAGCACAAACCTGCTCTTGCAACTGGGTTTTATACTTCTCTGCTTCTTCAATGTAAATGTTCTGAAGCTTTTCACACTCCCCAGTATAAAATTCTTTAAGCCGATTCTCTAGTTCTGTTAGATCAGTCTGGTGCTGCTGGTTTAGCTTCTGGACAAATCCTTCATAAGCTATTTGTATTTCATTCCTGGCTTTTTCTAAATTCTCACAGGTGGTTGAAGTGGTGACTGAAAAAGAGATGGAAAAGGGGAGATGATATTTAACTTGTTAAATGTCCTAAATTCCCAATATTCACATAGAGATGGAAGCACAAATCTTTTCTCAGATTTTCAGTTTTGTACCGAAGCAAGAGACAAGCAAAAGAAGTGCTTGAGAAGAGCCAATGTGAGGATCATCCCTTTGCGTGGTGATCAGTCAACACGGGACTTTCCAGCCACAGGAGAGGACATTGCTAAAGACAAGCTGCTCTACCCAAGATCAACCTGTCCAGGAAAAGCGAAGGACAGAGAACGAGTAAGAAAGAGAAATGAGAGAAAAGAGACAAATGGACTAATGTAAGTTTGTACTTGATTTGAGCCGATTTCAGTTTTCTCAAGTATCAAGTAATCAAAACAAAACATTAGAATATAATACTGAATACAAATCCCTGGATCATTACAAATTTAGAAGGAAAGCACATTTTGCTATAATATGAATACATTGAAAGGTGAACATATTTTAGAGAGGCAAAATAATAAATTAACTTAATAAATCAGAGCATTCTACATCTTCACTGTCACTCCCCAAATACAATTACTATCAATATGACAGAACACATACTCACATATACATACACATACATATCTACATACATACTATAATAAATCCTTGAATAGCTCTATATATTTTCAGGAACTTAACTTTGGGCTTTTTAAGCATCCCTTCACCAATTTTTAATAGAGATTGAGTTTTTACTGTAACTGGGAGGGGGACATGTGGTCTCACAATCCTTGAGTGCCCGTGTTGTTGTTTAAGAGTCATCGAGTTGATTCTGACTTACAGTGACTCTGTATAGGGTTTCTGAGAAGCGACTGGTGGGTTTGAACAGCCAACCTTGCAGTTAGCAGTCTGGTGCCTATCTTACAGCGTCATATCAGGACAGACTAATATAAAATCAAAAAGGTAGATGGAGGCTAGAATATAGGGGCCATAACATGGAACATCACTAAGAACTCAGTTCTTTGGGGTTAAATGTTGGGAGTTTACTTTTTTTTCTTTAAAAGAATTTAGACCATCCATACTGATAAACAACACCCTCTTTACATTCATTTTTCCTTTTATTCTGAAGAGGCTTCACAAAGAAGGTAGAAAATGTTCCTTATCTTTTAACTCCACTTCCCCTCCAATTTTTGGAAACCCCTTTATACACCATTTATCAAAAGAGAATGACAAAAAAATGACAGAAAATTTCTAATGACAGCTTGAGAAGACAACGTAAATTATTACAATGAAATGTGCAAAGACATGGAGTTAGAAACCCAAAAGGGAAGAATACACTCAGCATTTCTCAGCT